CCAAGTTGCCCAGGCAGGTCTCGAACCCGTGGGCTCAGGCAATCCACTCACCTCACCCTCCCAAAGGCGCGGGATTACAGGCTGAGCCACCTAGCCTGGCTTTAGCTGTCTATTTCTAAAATGTTGTCATTTCAATAACATTATAAATCAAAGTGTACAGTATGTAATCTTTTGGGATTGGCTTTTTCCTGCTCCGCATAATTCCCTGAGATTCATCCAAGTTGCTGTGTGTAACGTTTATTCCTTTTTATTGCTAAGTAATATTTCAAAATACATATGTACTGCAGTTTTTAAAAAATTGTTCACTTGTTAAAGGATATCTGGGAATGCTTCCCGCTTTTGGCTATTATGAATAAAGCTGCTGTGAACACTCATGTGCAAGTTTTTGTGTGAACGTAAGTTCTCATTTCTCTGAGACAAATGCCCAGGAGTGAAATTGATAAGCTGTATGGTATTTGCCAGTGCAGTGGCACAATCATGGCTCACCACAGCCTCAAACTCCTGGGTTCAAGTAAGCCTTCTGCCTCAGTCTCCCAAAGTGCTGGGATTACGGGCGAGTGCCACCACACCCAGCTAATTTTTTTAATTTTTTTTTTTTTGTAGAGATGAAATTTTGCTGTGAGAGCTCAAGCAATTCTCCCACCTTGGCCTTTCAAAGTGCTAGGATTACAGGTGTGAGCCACCATGCCCAGCACATGTAGTTTTTTAAGAAACTACGAAACTGTTTTCTAGAATGGCGGTACCATTTTATATTCCCATGACTTTTATTTGGAAGAGTCCAATGAATGGAATGAGATCATTTACAAGATGTGCTAAGCACAATGCTGGCATGATTTAAAATGCATTCTGTGTGCATCTCATCTCCAGTTTTATATTCTTAGTTATCCTGCTCCCTATGGCATTTTCATACTATCTCTAACTCCTTACCCTCAACCTGAAACCATGTCCTGGTCTCTCTTATTTAAAAACAACAAAACCAAAACTTTCCTCAACCTATTTGTGGAGCCACCCTCCCAGTGCTTCTCATGGCACCTCCCATCTTCTTGAAAACAGGATTCATGGGCTGTGGGAGCTGAAGAGTATAGACCATGTCTGTTGGGTATATTTCAGCGTCCCTTATGTCTAGCCTAGTATCTGGCATAAACATAGTTGGCACTCAAATATTTGCTGGATAAATGAGTGAATGTCTCCATTTCCTCATGCACTTCCCAATTTATATCTTGCAGTTGAATTTCTGCCCTTACCACTCTTCCAAAATTTACTTCCAAAATGACCTCCGACTTGTTCACCAAAGCTGGAGGTTGCCTCTCCATCCTCTTCTCTAGGAACTCTATATTGTCAATGTGATTCTTTAAGACAGGTTTCCACTTTGCAGTATAAAGTAAGTGCAAATGTACTCCAAGGGACACAGATAAGGCTGGGTTCTCCAGTTGCTTACTTATCTACTCAGCAGTATAGTCGGACTTTTTCCTGATGGTGTCATTTAATTTGTTCCTTAGTCTTCTGAATTTCTTATAGACTGAAGATTGGGTCTAGAGGTTTGATTAGATTTAGGTTTGTTTCTTTCTTAAGATTATTTCATATATGATGCTGTATTATCGTGTTACATAACAGGAAACCCAAGGGTGCCAGAGTGAGCTGCCAGACAGCAAGTCTCATTGGAGCAGTAATTAAAACACCAAATAGTGACAAACTTGTATTAAGGGTCTTGGGATATTAGGCCATGTGTCCTGAAGAACACAAGGTAAGGATCATGTTCCTGCCCACAAGGGGAAGAACAAACAAACAAACCAAAAAAAACCTCTCTTTTGCAATTAGGAACTAGTTGTATGAGTCCACTAATAAGGTGTGAAAATTGTCAGAATCAAATCAGAGTCACTTGTGTTAAAAACCCTGACAGAGCTGGGAAAGACACAAAGGGAGGAGGGTTTCATGCACAGATAGCTGGTAGCTAGGACTGTCATAAAAGACTGCAAAATCTACACCTTGCACAAGGGTCATCACTCTCTTACAGGCAAAAAATGCTTCTGTGAAGGCATCTGCCCAGCAACTGCCTGTCCAGTCTTGGACTGGTGCTATCCTTGTTATTGATACTTGTAGTCAAGGATAAGTGTCTCAAAACAGTTATGTAATCTTACTCATTTTTGCTTTAAAAACCTTCATCTTTCTTTACTTTCCCGAATATGCACATAGTTTATTATAGCACTTGTATTCCCATTGTAATGCCTATTCCTGAATAGATTTTATTTTATTTCATTTCATTTTATTTTTGGGGGTCAGCGGTCTTACTCTGTTGGCAGGCTGGAATGCAGTGGCACAATCACGGCTCACTGCAGCTTTGAACTCCTGGGCTCAAGTGATCCTCCTGCCTCAGCTTCCTAAGTAGCTGGGACTACAGGGTGTGCACCATCATGCCCAGTTAATTTAAAAAATTTTTGTTGTAGAGATGAAGTCTTATTATGTTGCCTAGGCTGATGTCAAACTCCTTGCTCAAGCAATCCTTCTGCCTCAATCTCCCAAAGTGCTGGGATTACAGGCATGAGCTACCACACCTGGCCAGACATCATTTTCTTTTAGAGAGTCTCCCTTTCTGTAATTTAGGCTGACCAGGGATATGTCATGTGGTAACTTAGAGATAGCAGTTACTCTACCTTTGGGCTATGTGTATGAAGTTATAAGAAGTAACTGAAAGCTGGTCCTTGCATTAAAGAAGAATAGATTCCAAAAAGGGTAGCAATAAATATTGATCCTAAGATAGGAGAGTGCATTTTGAAGGTTTTATTTTCCATAGGAAGGAATTTAGACTTTTGTGGCCAATAGGTAAGTTCTGGAAGTTTCTGACTGTGTTTGTTCCTCATGCACTACTAATACAGGGGCAGTGGAGGGGACAGATGACAGCAGGCTGGAAGACGCATACCTAAATCCTTGCCGTTGTGTGTGAAAACCCCCTAGGTGCCATAAAGGGAAAATGTAGGGTTCAGATATTTCGGGTTAGAATTAAAAAATGTGTCTGAACTTTTAAGATTTTGTGGGTATAATGTTGCTACATCAAATGAGTTTGGAACATACTAGGGGTTTAGGAGGGAAGATGAATATTGTGTCATGTTATGTGTCTGTGGAACAACTGGGGAAAGAAGTCCAAGTAGACTGCTGGAAATTTCATATCAGGGACTCAGAGGATAGTGTACAGGAAGTGATGACTGACATTGAAAATCTCCTAGAAAGAAATAGTGTGGCCTGGCATGATGGTTCAGGCCTGTAGTCCCAGCACTTTGGGAGGCCAAAGAGGAAAAATCGGTTGGAGGCCAGAAGTTTAAGACTACACTGGTCAACATAGTAAAATCCCTGTCTCTGAAAAAAACCCCAAACATAATAATAAAATAGCCAGTCGTGGTGATGCAGACTATCCCAGGTTTGTCGGAGGTTGAGCTGGTGCTTGAGGCCAAGAGTTGGAGGCTGTAGCGATCAATGATCATACTTTAGCCTGGGTGACAGAGGGAGTCCTGGTCTCTAAAAACAAACAAACAAACAAACAAACAAACACATGCATACATAAGAAAAATAAGTGGTGCGGGGAGAAAAGGGCTCATGCGGCGGAGGGGTTGGAGGGTGAACAAGGTACCAAGCTGTTAATCACCTCGTTGCTCTCCACCTGCGTGCTCTGGCGTCCTTCTAGAGGAGGCCGACACCGCCTTGCCAGCGCTGGCAGCCCAACGGCCGGGCCCGCCAAGCACCCCACCTGCAAAGCCAGCGCCCCCGCCGGCCGGGTCTGAGCGGGTCTATCCAGGCGGCACGAGAGAAGCGCAGAGACGTGGGGCGGCCGCGCCTGCGCAGTGGCGGGCCGTCGGTTGGGCGCACACAGGCCGCGGAGGATGGAGCGATGGAGTCGCCCGGAGAGCCAGGCGCGCCTTCCAACCCCGCGGACAGCCGCGGCGGGCGGGTGTCTGCCCAGTTCACAGCCCCTCTGCTCCAGAGGAATCCCTACAGCAGCCTGGATGTCGTGCACAAGAGAGGCTACGAGGTTCCCTTGGTCCACCACGCCCAGGACCCCAGCAAGACCACCAAGCCCAAGGACAAGGGCCAGCATGGCACCGGGCACCGCCTGCTGGAAGTGAGTGGATGGGCCCGCGGGGGCGCCAGCCGGGGGCTCCAGGGGTCAGTGCGTGCAGTCCGAGGGAGAGCCGGCCCAAAGTGGAGGGTGGTAAGACCACAGGGGAGTTGACTTGGGAGACCCTGGATGGCTATTAACTTGTCGGGGACATCTGTTTCCTTCCTCCCTCTCTCTCTCTCTCTCCCTTTTTTTTGAGTCGGGGTCTCTCTCTGTCATCCAGGCTGGAGTGTGCAGTGTCACGCTCACGGCTACCACAGCCTCTACCTGCTGGGCTCAGGTGATCCTTCTGCCTCAGCCTCCCAGTAGCTGGGCCACCACACCCGGCTAATTTTTTGACGAGGTCTCGCTATGTTGCCCAGGCTGGTCTCGAACTCCTGGGTTCAAGCGATCCTCCCACCTCAGCCTCCCAAAGTGTTGGAATTACAGGCACAAGTCACTGCATCGGCTCCTTTTATTGTGTTACATGCAGTCAATAATGACTGCCTGCCTTACTCATTAAAGGGGAACTAAAGGAGATGATATCAAGTGCTTAGCACAGAACAAAGAACAAAGCAAACAAAATATAGTGGTTTGTAAGACAAAGAGTCAGTAACAGCTGCTGTCGTCGTCGTCGTCATCGTCATTGTCATCATCATCATCGGGATTTCATTTATGTGGTTAAAGGGCCAAATTCCAGAAACTTTAGTTACCTTTGTTTTTATTCCTGCCGTTCATAGAGAACCTGCAAAAGCTAATCCACATCAGGTCGGCAAAGTGGATTATTGGCCTTTTGGGATGACCACTCTATTTAGGGGTACCACCCAGCATGGAGATCTCAATGGCAAAGCCAAGTTGATACTTTCCCTTTCAAAGTCGTTCGAGGCTATTAGGACATTTTACATCTTCTGTTGGTCTTAAGTTATTAAGAAGTAGAACAGATAAAAGTATTTGTTGGGAAATGTATTCAAAAAGATGATGTTCATCTCTAAAATGGAGTTGAATTACTTGCTCTGTGAGGTACCCCGCAGTCCCCCAAATTTAGAATACTCTTAAAGTTTTGTTATGATAAATTGAGAGCATATTGGGAGTTAGCTATAGGATAACATTTTAGGAAAAACCCACAGAGTTATGTGATTTTTATTCTTTAGCTTGTTAATATGGTGGATTACATTGATTGACTTTAAAATATTGATTTAGGCTTGAAGTAAACCCTATCTCATTACAGTGTATACTTCTTTTTATATATGCTGAATTCTAACTGCTTGTATTTTGTCAAGATTTGTGTCTGTATTTGTGAGAGATACTGGTTTTTAGGCTTCATTTTTTGGTGTAGCCTTTGTCTAGGGTAATACTAGATTGCGAAGTGTTCCTTTTTCATCTGTTTTCTGGAAAATATTGTGTAAAACTGGCATAAATTCTTTTGTAAGCATTTGGTGAAATTCTCCTGTGAAACCACCTGGGCCTGGAGACTCTTAGGAATTTAAAAATTAGAAATTCGATTTAAAAAAAATAGTTATAGGGCTATTAAGATTATCTGCATCATAGTGGGTGATTATGGGGATTTGTTTTGAGGAATGGATCCATTTCACCTTCGTTATCATATTTATATGTGTAGAGTTGTTCTTAATATTCTCTTGTTATTCTTTGACTATCTAGAAGTCTGTAACAATATGTCCTGTTTTATTTTTGATATTGGTAATTTGCATCTTCTTTATGGGTCCGTCTTTCAAGAATTTTGTCAATTTTATTGATCTTTCCAAAGAACAAAGTATTTATTTTCTTCATTGCTTTTCTGTGTTCAATTTCCATGATTTTTTTTCTTCTATCTTTATTATTTCCTCCCTTCTACTTGCTTCGGGTTTGTTTTGTCATTCTTTTGCTGGGTCCTTGAGGTGGGAGCTTAGATTATTAATTTGTGACTTTTTATATTTTATTATATATGCATTTAGTGCTATAAATTTTTCTCTCAGTACTGCTTTCGCCATGCCCCACACATTTTGATGTATTAGATTTTCATTTAAATTATGTTTAATATATTCTAAACTTTCTTTGAGACCTTCTCTTTGACTTCTCCTGATATGAGTTTATTTACTTATTTTTAGATAGGGTCTTGCTTTGTCACCCATGCTGGAGTGCAGTGGCCCAAGCATAGCTCACTGCAGCCTGGAACTTCTGGGTTCAAGGATCCTCCTGCTTCAGACTCCCAAGAAGCTGGAACTACAAGCACATGCCATCATGTCTAGTTAATTTTTAAATTTAATATAGGAAGACAAGGTCTTCCTATATTGCCCAGGATGGTTTTGAAGTCTTGGCCTCAAGTGATCCTCTTTCCTTGTCCTCCCAAAGCACTAGGATTACAGGCATGAACCATTGTACTGGGTTACTTGGAAGTATGTTTAGTTTCTAAGTATTTGGAGGTTTCCCTATTATCTTTGTTGTTTCTAGTTTTAGTCCATTGTAGTAGGAAAGTAAAACTTGTGTTATTTCAATTATTTAAATTTGCAGTAGTCTGTTTTATTGTCCAAGATATGGTACAGTTGACCCTTGAGCAACACAGGTCATGGGTCCACTTATATGTGGATTTTCTTCCTCCTCTGCTACCCCTGAGACAGCAAGACCAACCCCTCCTCAGCCAGCTCATTGCGAAGACTATGAGGATGAAGGCTTTTATGATGGTCTTTTTCCACTTGATGAATAGTAAATATCTATTTCTCTTCCTTACAATTTTCTTAATATCATTTTCTTTTCTCTAGCTTACTTTATTATAAGAATATAGTATGTAATACATATGACCTACAAGATATGTGTTAATTGACTATTTCTGTTATCAGTAAGGCTTCTGTCAACAGTAGGCTATTTATTAGTAGATAAGGTTTTGGGAAGTCAAAAGTTATATATGGATTTTCAACTGTAGAGAGGTTGACATCCCTAGCTTCTGTGTTGTTCAAAGGTCAATTGTATAACCTTGGTATATGTTCCATAGAAACATGAAAGAAATATGTATCCTGCTGTTTTTGGATGGAATAGTCTATACATGCCTATTAGATCCTGCTGATCTATGGTATTGCTGAGTACTTCTACACCCTTGTTGATTTTCTTTGTCTAGTTGCTCTATAAATTACTGAGAAAGGATTGTTTAATACTGAAACTGTAAGTGTGGATTTATATTTTTCTCTTTTCAGTTCTATTAATTTTTTTGTAACATATTTTTCAGCTCTGTTGTTTGGGACATATACATTTAGGATTGCTGTATCTTCTTGGTAGACTGACCCTTTCATCATTATATATTGTCTGCCTCTCTGTCTGGTAATTTCCTTTGTGCTGAAGTCTACTTTACCTCAAGTTAATATAGCCATTCTTGCTTTTGTTTGATTAATGTTTGCATTATATAATGTTGCATACACACACACTTCCCCATCCTTTTACTTTCAACTTTTCTATAACATTGTATTAGAGGTAAGTTTCTTGTAGTCAGCACATATTTAGGTCATGTTTTTTAATCCCCTTTTTTAATCTTTATCTTTCAATTGGTATATTTAGACCATTTACATTTAATGCAATCATTGCTATATTAGGGCTTTGGTCTGTCATTTTTTTTTTTTGCCTTTATTTATCTCTTTCTTTTTTGAGTCATGGTCTCACTTTGGCACCCAGGCTAGAGTGCAGTGGCATGATCGTGGCTCACTGCAGCCTCAATTTCCTGGGCTCAGGCAATCCTTCAGCCTCAGCCTTCCAAGTAAGCTGGGACTGTAGGCATGCACCACCATACCCAGCTAATTTATTTTTATTTTTATTTTTTTGTAGAGATGAGATCTTGCTGTGTTGCCTAGGCTTATCTCAAACTCCTGGGCTCAAACAGTCCTCCCTCCTCGGTCTCCCAAAGTGCTGGGATTATAGATATGAACCACCATGCCTTACTAGTTCTATGTTTTTGAACCTATTTTTCTTGCCTTTTTTGTGTGTATTTGAACCTCTTTTAGAATTCCATTTTTATTTCTCTATAGTGTCTTTGACTATCATATACATATGGCTGCTCTAGATATTACATTACATATATATAACTTATCACAATATACTGGCATCACCTCCCCTCCCCCCCTTTTTAAAGTGAGAAAGCAGGATTTATTGAGGACAGAAAAGCTCCCACATGGGAGGGGACCCGAAGGGGTTGTCCCAGCATCACCCTCTTACTAGGTCAGATGAAATACATAAACTTTCCTTTCCTTTATGTCTCTTTACCCTTCTCCATTTTATAATTGTTTTAAATATTTCCTCTATATGCACTTAGAGCCACATCAGACAGTATAATTTTTGCTTCCACTGGCAAACATAATTTAGAAAGCTCAAGAGGAAAAAGAAAGTCTATTGTCTTTACCCACATTTTTGCTGACTGTGCTCTTTCTTTTTTTTTAGATTTTATAGAAGTTTATTAAAAACTTTTTCAACTATGTAGTTTTCTTTTCTGTAATGTTTATGTTTTGCTTTAGCACCAGAGTAAGGCTAGCCTCATGGAATGAATGGAAATTATTTACTTCTTTTCAGTTGTCTTTATTTATTTATTTATTTTAGTTTTTAAAATTTGTATTATAAAGATGTGGTATACAATTCAGGGTTAGGTGTATAAACATTGATCATCCAGGTACCCTTGTTGATGAGGTATGCCCCTCCCTTCCCTAGCAATTTCCCTACTGCCAATCCCACCCTACCCCTCCCCTGACAGTTTCCCTGACTGTGCTCTTTCTACTTCCAAATGTTTCAAGATTTCTTTCTTCTTCTTTTTTTTGTAAAAATAATTTCCTTTCTGTTTAGAGAACTTCAGTTAGTTTTTTTTTTAAAAGATAACTCTTATGGTGAAACATGTTTAGTTTTTCTTCATCTGAGAATATCTTGATTTTTCCCTTTATTCTTGATAGATATTTTCACTGAGGTTAGGATTTGGGGTTAACATTTCAGTTAGCACTTGAAACATGTTTTACCACTTCCTTCTAGTCTCCATGGTTTTTGATGAGAAATCTGCTGTC